CCCGGTCACATGACCAGCTAGCCACGCCCACCCAGTCACATGACCAGCTAGCCACGCCCACAAAATAAGCCACGCCCACAATGTCCCTCTTTACCAATGTTAAAATCTGGTCACCTTACCCTGGCCCCATCTCTGCCTTCGACACAGAGCCCTCATCCGGGCCTTCCCCAGCCTCCAGGACTGGCCCACGTTCTTCCTCAGCCTCATCGCTGTCCGACTCCGCTGCCAGCTCTGCAGGCTGCTGGCGAACCACAACACCTTTTCTGACCTTTTGATGAGCGAAGTCAATGGGGAAACCAGATTTGCTTAACAACGGTGTTACTAACTTAGCATCTAGAACACGGGTGACAAACTTGCGGTGTCATGTGACGTATCACGTTTTTTTCCCTTCACGGAGCTAGGGTGGGCATGGCCTGCGTCTGACACATCCAGCCCGCGGGCCACCAGTTTGACACCCAACCTAGAATAAACCTAGAATAGAATAGAACCGGAAGGGACCTTGGAGGTCTTCTAGTCCAGTTTCGTGCTCCAGCAGGAGACCCTATTCCAGGGCTCTGCAAACTTAAACACTCAAAAGAGCCATTTAGATCCGTTTCCCACAGAAAAGAGAACACCGGGAGCCACAAAACCCTTCCCGTGCCTGACGATTTCTTGAGCGGCCACAAAACTGGCATATGTAGTTGAATTAAACATTCTATTTTCTTCTGATTTTTTTTCTTTTCCTTGATTTATCCTACCGGGGATTGAAAAGCTCAAGCTCAAAAGGGCCTTGGTAGTACAGTGGTCTAAGGCACCCTGTTATTAAGCTGGTTGTTAAGACCAGCTTCCTGCAATTACTGCAGGTTCAAATCTCGCCAAGGCTCAAGGTTGACTCAGCCTTCCATCCTTTCAAAGGTAGGTAAAATGAGGACCCGGTTTGTGGGGGCAATAAGCGGACTTTGTATAAATATACAAAAGGATGAAGATTATTGCTTAGCGCATTGTAAGCCGCCCTGAGTCTCCGGAGAAGGGCGGCATATAAATCAATTTTTTTTAAAAAAAATTAATCATGTGCCAGTGGGTGTCGCACATTGGCAGTTGTGACACATATTTTGAGTGACAGGGAGCCACAGCAGAGGGGTGAAAGAGCCACATGTGGCTCCAGAGCCACAGGTTGCTGACCCTGCCCCATGAGGCGAACCAATGGCACACGTGCCACAGCTGGCACGCGAGCTGTCGCCCAGCTCAGCTTCACTGCGCATTTGCGTGTGTGCCTTCCACCAGCAAGCTGATTTTCAGGATGTACAGGGGGTGGGGTGCATGTGGGAGATGCGTGCGCATGCGCAGGAGAGCGGGGGGTTCATGCACAAATGTGTGGGGCGGAGCGCGGGGGTTGCCCATTTTTTAACCCAGGAGACTTCCAGGAGTCTCTACATGGCCCATTTTGGATGCCAGGTAAGTGCAGGGCCCGCGTGGAGCCTGGCGAGGGTGAAAAACAGGCTTTCCGGAAGTCTGGAAACAGGCCCGTTTCTAGCCTCCGGAGCCTGGAGAGACCGTCTTTGTCCTCTTGGAGGCTCGAGCAAAGCCTTTGTAGCCTGGGGGCCCTGAAACGTCCCCCTGCTGTGGTGCACCAGGCCGAGTAGGCGTGGGGGGCTGTGTGCACATGTGCAGGGGGCACAGGGGGGGGTTGTGTGTGCATGTGATTGGCGCACATTGCATTATGGGTGCTGGCACGCACGCACGAAGAGAAAAAAGTTAGCCATCACTGCCCCAGTGGTGGGATTCAGCCGGTTCGCACCACTTCGGGAGAACCGGTTGTTAACTTCCTGAGCAGTTTGGCAAACTGGTTGTTGGAAGAAATCATTAGGGCAGAGAACCGGTTGTTAAATTACCTGAATCCCACCACTGCACTGCCCGATACCATTTCAGACAGGTGACTGTCCTAATGTAAATGAAGCGGGCTCTGATAGATGACCACTGGATAACTTTCTATTCACTCTATTCTAAAAAGCAATGCATCCGGTTGGAAAAAGTATAAACTCAGCCAAAATCCTTTTGGTACCTCTAGGAGTCCTCTAAATTGTCAGAAGAAAGGAACATTCTAATGACATACAGCTTAAAGGTTGGTTAGGTCAAGGGGATCCACATGAGTTAAAAGTTGTCTATCGTCAGAAGATGATTTGAGTCTATGCTTCAGTAATCTACAAAAAGAATTATAATTGTTTTGCAAAGAAACTCAGTAATTAGGAAATGTCAATTAAAAATGACAAATGTATATGACCATATGAATTGCTGAGTTAACAGAATCCTTTGTCTAGAAGGGTATAAAAACCATTGTACCTAATTTCTGTCTTTGTTCAACGCTTCATGTACAGAGCCTTGAACCTATTGCGCAATATACAAATTGTCTCTGATTAACCCAAAAGTTGTGTTGGTCTTATTAAATCCACAACAGTCCAGACTCTTCTTAAAAACCTCCAGGGATGGAGCACCCAGAATTTCTGAATGCAATCCCTTCCACTGATTAATTGTCCTCACGGTTAGGAAGTTCCTCCTTAATTCCTTTTGTGCCGTAAGGTCCAATAATAATATGTTTAAGCTCATAAATGCCAAACAAGAAACTTAAACAGAGGCTTGAGTGAAATAGCATTTAATCTTGGTCAAGCTTAAATGGTTAGCTGTTCCAAACACATACAAGATACATGCAGGGAAGAACTACAAACAAGAAAGGGTATCAGTTTTGGAAGACAAATTTATTTTTTGCTTCTTAACTGCCACATATTTTAGCTGGGGAAGTTGGGAGAGGGTTGTTGTTGAAGCGGTAGAAAGTTAGTCATAACAACATTCTGTACTCAAGGACTTTTGCCTGCGTCTGATTCAGATTGCACGAAGATTGATGGTGGAGTGTGAAAGTTGATTGGACAATGTGATGAACTTGTGGGTGTGGGGCAGGGCTGTGAATTCTTAGCTGAGTGGGAGAAACCTGGAAGCTTTCAGATTTGGGTTTTCCCAGAAGTGTCAACATGACATTTCTAATAAATCGAAACTTTGAGGAACCTCAGACCTTGGAGCTTTATTTTGTTGGGAGTGTTCCTTGGAACCCTGACAAAGGGAATGTGAATCCTTTATATTGTTCAGGAAAGTCATAATCCTCCAATTCTGGCATCTTTGATTTGCGTATCCCCTGGAACAGAGTAGAGCCCCTTGATTAGCACCATTAGCATTATTATTATTATTATCTCTTCCTGATCATCTTCTTTGTGTTCACACTTGGCTATTTAGCCCCCTGGAGTGAAGGGAACTCAAGATACAGATACAGAGATAAGGCTCTGATCAAAAGGTGGAACATACGTTTTCACAAATGCCAGATACTTTATAGACCCCAATAACAGTATATGTTTGTTCCAGGAAGTTAGTCAATGTGGCATATTTGTATTACAACTTTAAAGGCATAATATATGTATGTGTTCCAGGAAACAAATATTTACAGCATGCAGGTATACAAAGACATCATATATGATACATATATATGTTGCAGAAAACAACTAACAAGTTTCTACTATTTCAGTATATCTATTTCCTTACAGTGCTTCTTCAGGAGGCAACTGGACTTTCTTGTTTTTTCTTTGAAGACGTTTCACTTCTCCTCCAAGAAGCTTCTTCAGTTCTGACTGGATGGTGGGCAATGGAAGGATTTATTTTGCAGGCAGCTAGGTATTTGAATCCTTTTTAGAGAGTAATTGAGGCTACTTGGAGGTTTATCTGTGTCCTCAGTGAAGTAAAGAGCAAATAAAGAATAATGTAGATAAAAGAAATAATGTGAATAAAATAGGAATCATACAGAGTCAGATATATGGGCTCTGGGGGACCCTCTCTATTCACATTATTATAAGGGGAAGACGTGCTTGGATACATGAACTCTGAGAGACTCTATCTAACATTATTATAAGAGAGGAAAGTGCTTGTTGGAAATTACATTAACAAACAGTTAAACCCCTTTTAAGTGGTAATATATCTTCTGATACCTAGATGTCAAGGAAAGGACTGCTATATGGAAAAACATCTGAGTGACCTGACTGTGAATGACACAAAGACCTATATGTTACAAAGAGTTACTTAATCTAATGAATTTACCCAAGGACAGTAGTAACTCTCCCATTAGCGACTCTGAGCACTTAAGAAAAGTTGTGTGGCTAAGATAATCTTATAAACTAAGATTAATGCTTTAAGTAATTAGATGAACTTATTAACAAGTAAATATAACCATAGAAGGAAAATCGGATGTATGATCTCATGATTAACCATATATGGAAAATGTATGATCTCACTGAATCCTTTGTCTTAGAAATGTATAAAAACCATTGTATCAGAGTTCTTTCTTTGTTCAAAGCTTCAGGTACAAATCTGGCTCTGAACCTTGCGCAATAAACTCTCTCTGACTGGCCTGGGAATGTTTTTTAGTCCTTCCATTCCACAACATCAGGGCCACCTGAGTAGTGCACAAGGTTCCTGTAGTCTGCAATTTTTTCTTCTCTCTCTGGAAATCCATTCTTACTCCCACACCATTCATACCGTGTTCATCCCAAATTGTATAGCTAAAATGACCAGCTGTCTGCAAGGAATATAAATCCTTCCATTCCCCACCATCCAGTCAGAGCTGAAGAAGCTTCTTGGATGAGAAGCGAAACGTCTTCAAAAGAAAAAAAACAAGAAATGTCTCTTGAAAAAAAAAACATCTTTGGGACCTCAAAGGAGACTTTGACAAGGGTTGAATTCAGCTTCCCCCCTCCCAAACCCGGGGGGGGGGCGGAAATGAGTGCTGCGCAGTACTCTATGCTTGTAGTTTTCCTGCATTCCTTTGGGGAGAGGAGGGGTCCAATTGCCCGCGAGTTTTCATTGGTCCGGATCCGGCCGCTCTTCAACTTGAAGAAGGAGCGAGCTCTGCGATAGGGCAGCAGAGACCCATCAGTCGCAAGAGGCGGGGTTTCATTGGTTGAAGTGTGAACCCATTAGATTGCGCTGGCTGGGAGCTATTTGCGGTGCGTATGCAACAGCGGAGGCTGTTTGCAAATTAGGCGAAAGTCAAAGTAAGTTCAAATTGTCAAATTTAAATTAAAATGCAATTAATTGCTAATTAGATTCTTGGTATTTGTTATGTATGTATCTATATGATACATATTATTATGTATTATGTATATTATGTATTATGTTATATTATAACATACATATTATTATTATATATATAAAATTCATATTATTATGTATTATTATATTATGTATTATGTATACATATTATTATGTATGAGCTGGGAAAGCATTGTCATCCGGGCAGAATTATTTCCCATCCGGATTTTGGAGGAAAGTAATTGAATTTCTTTTTGTGGGAAAAAATGAAAGTCAGTTGCAACCCGACCATCGTCAACCTGGCGGCCTCCAGATATTGGAGGTATTACACGTTCTATCATCCCCTGCATGCAGGGTGGGGGATTCTGGGAGTGGGAGTCCACAAGTCTTAAAGGTTGCCAAGGTTGAGAAACTGCGGCTTAAGGCATCTTCTGCCTCTTAAAAGGAAGGGCTTTTAAATGGGATGCCTGAAGGGCAAGGATAAGAGGAAATTAAAACCACTTTTGAGGCAGCCAGAAGTTCGATTTTATTACTGTTGAGCAGTGTGAAATCCAATTTTTTTTTTACTACCGGTTCTGTGGGTGTGGCTTGGTGGGCGTGGCAGGGGAAGGATGTTGCAAAATCTTCATTTCCACCCCGCTGCAGGGGAAGGTTACTGCAAAATCCCCATTCCCTCCCTACTCCTGGGGGAAGGATATTGCAACATCTCCATTCCCACCCTGCTTCAGGGGAAGGATGTTGCAAAATCTCCATTCCCACCCCGCTCCAGGGCAAGGATACTGCAAAATCCCCATTCCCTCCCTACTCCTGGGGGAAGGATATTGCAAAAAAGGATATTTGCTGGTTCTCCGAACTGCTCAAAATTTCCGCTACCGGTTCTCCAGAACCTGTCGGAACCTGCTGGATTTCACCCCTGCTGTTGTGCCAGCCAGACTCACTTGGGAGAGTGAGATCCCTTTGCATGAAAGGCCAACCTAGGCACTGAACTGCACTCTTCTGTATACTTTTGTTATTAATATTTAATTTCCCAATTTCACTCTTGTGCAATATAATACAAAAATGTGATTAATGTGATTAATGTGTGTGTGTGTGTGTGTGTGTCTGTATGTATATAAACACACACACAGACACAGAAACAAACAGGACACACACACACACACACACACAAAAACAATAGCTGGACACCCTTGCTTCTCTGGAAACGAAACTAGGTGCTACAGCTTGATAAATCGAAACTTAAGAGTTTGAAAAATAACGACTAGTTACAACCAGCCTTTTCTCCCTCAGGCTGCCCCCATAGATCCTCCCCTAACTCCCTTCTTTTTTTTTGGATTTTTTTTTTTATTTTTAAACAAAACTTAAAATATAAAACAATTATCATCCATTACAATTACAGAAAGTGTATTGATTGGTTACAAATCTTTTGTGCTTAATCCTCTAACCAAGGATTAGGATAGGAAGGGATCTATGGGGCCACCCTAAGGGAGAGAAGGGGAATAGGAGAGAATCTATGGGGGCAGCCTGAGGGAGAGAAGGGCATAGGAGAGAATCTATAGGGCCACCCTGAGGGAGAGAGGAAGGATCTATGGGGGCAGCCTGAGGGAGAGAAGGGGAATAGGAGAGAATCTATGGGGGCAGCCTGAGGGAGAGAAGGGCATAGGAGAGAATCTATAGGGCCACCCTGAGGGAGAGAGGAAGGGATCTATGGGGGCAGCCTAAGGGAGAGAAGGGAATAGGAGAGGATCTATGGGGGCAGCCTGAGGGAGAGAACGGGGATAGGAAGGGATCTATGGGGGCAGCCTGAGGGAGAGAAGGGAATAGGGAGAGAATCTATGGGGGCAGCCTAAGGGAGAGAAGGGGAATAGGAGAGAATCTATGGGGGCAACCTAAGGGAGAGAAGGGGAATAGGAGAGAATCTATAGGGCCACCCTGAGGGAGAGAGGAAGGGATCTATGGGGGCAGCCTGAGGGAGAGAAGGGGATAGGAAGGGATCTATGGGGGCAGCCTGAGGGAGAGAAGGGGAATAGGAGAGAATCTATAGGGCCACCCTGAGGGAGAGAGGAAGGGATCTATGGGGCCACCCTGAGGGAGAGAAGGGCATAGGAGAGAATCTGTAGGGCCACCCTGAGGGAGAGAGGAAGGGATCTATGGGGCCAGCCCTGAGGGAGAGAAGGGGAATAGGAGAGAATCTATGGGCCACCCTGAGGGAGAGAAGGAAAGGATCTATGGGGCACCCTGAGGGAGAGAAGGGGGATAGGAGGGATCTATGGGGGCAGCCTGAGGGAGAGAAGGAGAATAGGAGAGGATCTATGGGGGCAGCCTGAGGGAGAGAAGGGGGATAGGAGAGGATCTATGGGGCCACCCTGAGGGAGAGAAGGGGGATAGGAAGGGATCTATGGGGGGCAGCCTGAGGGAGAGAAGGAGAATAGGAGAGGATCTATGGGGGCAGCCTGAGGGAGAGAAGGGGGATAGGAGAGGATCTATGGGGCCACCCTGAGGGAGAGAAGGGGGATAGGAAGGGATCTATGGGGGCAGCCTGAGGGAGAGAAGGAGAATAGGAGAGAACCTATGGGGCAGCCTGAGGGAGAAAAGGAGAATAGGAGAGGATCTATGGGGGCAGCCTGAGGGAGAGAAGGGGGATAGGAAGAGATCTATGGGGGGGGCAGCCTGAGGGAGAAAAGGGGAATAGGGAGAATCTATGGGGGCAGCCTGAGGGAGAGAAGGGGGATAGGAGAGGATCTATGGGGCCACCCTGAGGGAGAGAGGAAGGGATCTCTATGGGGGCAGCCTGAGGGAGAGAAGGGGGATAGGAAGAGATCTATGGGGGCAGCCTGAGGGAGAAAAGGAATAGGGGAGAATCTATGGGGGCAGCCTGAGGGAGAGAAGGGGGATAGGAGAGGATCTATGGGGCCACCCTGAGGGAGAGAGGAAGGGATCTATGGGGGCAGCCTGAGGGAGAGAAGGAGAATAGGAGAGGAACCTATGGGGCAGCCTGAGGGAGAAAAGGAGAATAGGAGAGGATCTATGGGGGCAGCCTGAGGGAGAAAAGGAGAATAGGAAGGATCTATGGGGGCAGCCTGAGGGAGAGAAGGAGAATAGGAGAGGAACCTATGGGGCAGCCTGAGGGAGAAAAGGGGAAGGAGAGGATCTATGGGGGCAGCCTGAGGGAGAGAAGGGGGATAGGAAGAGATCTATGGGGGGGGCAGCCTGAGGGAGAGAAGGGAATAGGAGAGGATCTATGGGGGCAGCCTGAGGGAGAGAACGGGGATAGGAAGGGATCTATGGGGCCACCCTAAGGGAGAGAAGGGGAATAGGAGAGAATCTATGGGGGCAGCCTGAGGGAGAGAAGGGCATAGGAGAGAATCTATAGGGCCACCCTGAGGGAGAGAGGAAGGGATCTATGGGGGCAGCCTAAGGGAGAGAAGGGGAATAGGAGAGGATCTATGGGGGCAGCCTGAGGGAGAGAACGGGGATAGGAAGGGATCTATGGGGGCAGCCTGAGGGAGAGAAGGGAATAGGAGAGAATCTATGGGGGCAGCCTAAGGGAGAGAAGGGGAATAGGAGAGAATCTATGGGGGCAACCTAAGGGAGAGAAGGGAATAGGAGAGAATCTATAGGGCCACCCTGAGGGAGAGAGGAAGGGATCTATGGGGGCAGCCTGAGGGAGAGAAGGGGAATAGGAATCTATGGGGCAGCAGCCTGAGGGAGAGAAGGGCATAGGAGAGAATCTGTAGGGCCACCCTGAGGGAGAGAGGAAGGGATCTATGGGGCCACCCTGAGGGAGAGAGGAAGGGATCTATGGGGGCAGCCTGAGGGAGAGAAGGGCATAGGAGAGAATCTGTAGGGCCACCCTGAGGGAGAGAGGAAAGGATCTATGGGGCCACCCTGAGGGAGAGAAGGGGGATAGGAAGGGATCTATGGGGGGCAGCCTGAGGGAGAGAAGGAGAATAGGAGAGGATCTATGGGGCAGCCTGAGGGAGAGAAGGAGAATAGGAGAGGATCTATGGGGGCAGCATGAGGGAGAGAAGGGGGATAGGAGAGGATCTATGGGGCCACCCTGAGGGAGAGAAGGGGGATAGGAAGGGATCTATGGGGGGCAGCCTGAGGGAGAGAAGGAGAATAGGAGAGGATCTATGGGGGCAGCCTGAGGGAGAGAAGGGGATAGGAGAGGATCTATGGGGCCACCCTGAGGGAGAGAAGGGGGATAGGAAGGGATCTATGGGGGGCAGCCTGAGGGAGAGAAGGAGAATAGGAGAGAACCTATGGGGCAGCCTGAGGGAGAAAAGGAGAATAGGAGAGGATCTATGGGGGCAGCCTGAGGGAGAGAAGGGGGATAGGAAGAGATCTATGGGGGGGGCAGCCTGAGGGAGAGAAGGGAATAGGGGAGAATCTATGGGGGCAGCCTGAGGGAGAGAAGGGGAATAGGAGAGGATCTGTGGGGGCAGCCTGAGGGAGAGAAGGGGGATAGGAAGAGATCTATGGGGGGGCAGCCTGAGGGAGAGAAGGGGAATAGGAGAGGATCTATGGGGGCAGCCTGAGGGAGAGAACGGGGATAGGAAGGGATCTATGGGGGCAGCCTGAGGGAGAGAAGGGGAATAGGAGAGAATCTATAGGGCCACCCTGAGGGAGAGAGGAAGGGATCTATGGGGGCAGCCTAAGGGAGAGAAGGGGAATAGGAGAGGATCTATGGGGGCAGCCTGAGGGAGAGAACGGGGATAGGAAGGGATCTATGGGGGCAGCCTGAGGGAGAGAAGGGGAATAGGAGAGAATCTATGGGGGCAGCCTGAGGGAGAGAAGGGCATAGGAGAGAATCTATAGGGCCACCCTGAGGGAGAGAGGAAGGGATCTATGGGGGCAGCCTAAGGGAGAGAAGGGGAATAGGAGAGGATCTATGGGGCAGCCTGAGGGAGAGAAGGGGGATAGGAAGGGATCTATGGGGGGCAGCCTGAGGGAGAAAAGGGAA